TATCTATCTATCTATCTATCTATCATATTTATATAGCTGCCCATCCCATATAAAGTGACTCTGGGCAGCGTACAACAATTAATTAATTGCCACTATTTTAAGCAGCTGGACAAAGGCTGATCTTAGGACAATGTTGTCTCTTGGCCAAACCAAAAATCCTTGCTAGGAGAAAATGTAGGAATTATGAACACTGGCTGGTTCTTGTTGCGTGCAAAGGAATTCTGATGGAATGGTAGCGAATCAAATAGTGGTTGAGAATAATAATTGATTAAGCCCAAAATGACAGATGGTTATAGTCAGCTTATCATTGCTATCTATCATGTGTGTGTGTGTGTGTGTGTGTCAGTGAGAGAGAGAGAGACAGAATGAATAATTCAAGTCAGTGCAAGTTGGAAGGAAGTATCTTGTGTAATGTAAAATGGATAGGTTGACAGAAAATAGCATCTGGAGAAAAATGTTACAGATGCTAGGAGACATCTTTTGTTAGACAGATAGTATGGATGATGAGTTAATGGTTCATCAGTCAGTGGTCCTATTTCGAATCCAGTGAGATTGTCTTCACCATGGTTTAGATTAGTCAGAGTTTGATCATTCTAGAGTAGTGTTTTTCAAACTTGGCAACTTTAAGATGTGTGGACTTCAACGCCCAGAATTCCCCAGCCAGCAAGTTTGAAAAACACTGTTCTAGAAGCAGGAGAAACAGTTCCATGCCAGTCTTAATTGAGTCACAGAGACTGAGTCACACATGGGGTATGACATGAAAATGATGTATGTCAAGGTCCCGAGGCCTTGTCTGGTAAACTGATGCAGAGTTGGTAAATTTGTTAAGCCATCATGTTCCAACATTCAAGCAAAACTAACCATTTCCATGGATGTTGCTATATGTTGTCAGTACTCTGGGAAATAGGGAGTGCAGGAGAAGAATTCTGTTTTTTCTTCAGACTGCAGTTTTAAATGTTCCTAGAGCTATTCCAAAGGGGATACTTGAACAAACCTTCATTTTCACAATCTTCCCCACACAGATTTTAAAGATTTATGTGAGATTCTTCGCTGAACTATATACCTGATCAAAATTGATGGCATCAGTAAAGTTAAATTCTTCCCTGGTGTCTGATTATGCATTTCTTTGGGAATATCCTTATCTGAGCCTCAAAAACATTTCATTTAAGTGGAAAGACTGAGATCGGTAACTTTCATCACTTGCATATTAATGCACGGAAGTTTGTTTCTACAAGAGACAGGTAGCACTAGCAGGTGTCATCAATTTGTGTGGCTGATATAAAGCTCTCTTACTAAGCAAAGCAGGTTTTACTGTATTAAGTTGGGTGCCACAATCATACAAAACCATTGAAGTAGAAATTGCAATAAAAATTGCTATCAATCACACTTCTGAAGTGTACTTTATGTTTCATTAGACTTCCCCCCCCCCCCCGTTCCCTTTTATTCCCATTGGCTACCTGGAAATGGTGACTTAAATGCTGGAAAATAACTTCAGCTTCTAAAATGTTTGAGGATGATTTGAACATTTCTTTCTAAAGAGTTTTCATGTTGTCTCTCACCTTGTTCCTCCTTGTTTCCCCCTTCATCCATAAATTAGTTTACAGGACAGAGCGGGAGCATGGCATGACGATTTGCATCTGCCAGTTAAGATTTATGTGCAGGGGTCTAAAAGGTACATTAAGTTTGTGTTACTATCCATCACACCCACACGAGCCTGAAACAAAATAACTTTTGAGGCAAGATTCCAGAAACTGTGTTAAAAGAATTGAATCTTCGGTTAGTGGTGGTTAAGGGAATTTTTTTTTATTTAGGAAACTGGCTTTCTTCTCACTGGTTAAGATTCCACTCTGCTAAGAAAGAGAGAGACGAGGCAAATTAAATTGCAAGTATAGCTTGGTTTATATCAGTTTAGTGCGAACTCCATCCTCCCAAAGGCTCCTGATTATTGAGTTTACCAGAAGAACCCATTTTTATACATTACAGTTTGTTGGTGAGGACTTATTTGAAGAGCACACCACAAAGTACAGCGCACATTGAGCCTATTTTGGCTAATGCATAGACATTTTATGGGGCTATTGTTGCCATTGCACCCACTTTCTTATATTCTTGTTCACGATTTAGTGTTTGGGGAGAGGTGAGCTTGTGAATGCACCTGTGTGGATGGCTGTAGAATATCAAATAGCATTGTAAAAGGTGAATGTGTTAAGTGTGGAGTGTTGTCAAGGCTGAGTCTTGCAAGCTGCTTGGGGTGAGTGAAAAACAAGAACCATGGCAGAAGTCAGCTGTCAAGAGAATCTAGAAGCAAGGTAGAAATCAAAGAAAGCCCCAGATAAAAAGGTATCAAAAATAACAGAGAACATGCTGCTCAAAGCTATGGTGGAAGTTCCAAAGGCCAGCTAGGGGCATGGATCTAATGACCTGCCTGGTTCAGTGGAGATATTGAAGGACTTGGAGGTTCTTCAGTGCATAGTTCCCACCATGTGGTTCACCACATAAGAGAAAGAAGGGGTCTCAGATCCCACTTCTTATTATAAATATAGAAGAAAACAAATCTGATGCCAGCCAAATTCCAAAGACATCCTAAAGTTAGGCAAAAGCTTATAGAACAGTGGTACTCATGTGATATCTCAAACTGATACATCGCTCAGTTTCCAAAGTGTTTTGATGTGTAGTATTTGAGAGTGAAGCAGTCATTAAAAAAAAGAAGCCCAAAAGTCTGTTGGGTAAGTATAAGTTGATTCATTATTTTTTCAGAACTGCAAAAAATAAGGATGCCCTTAAATCATGTTCAGCTCTGTGGCAGGCTACATTGGGAAGTAAAAAAAAAAAAAAATCATAGAAAAGGACAACAGCAAACCACTTCCATATTGTTGCTGAAGAAACCTACTTGGATGTGTCCAAAAAATCACCATGACTCTGTAGAGGTATAAAAATATGGAAATATTTATCAGATGACCTTCAGTATGAGAGATCATGTTCACAGATACTCCAACCTACTGCAACAATTGGTTTCTGCACTTTCATGCTCATAGCACTATTAAAAATATATTCTATTATTCCTAATGAATCTATAAAATGCAATATATATGAGCATAGGATTGGTCAATTTTTAACTGGCTACTGAAGCTGTACATTGGAAGAGAAGCTTGATCTGCAACTGGGACTATATTAATGCAATGAAAAACTACACCAGAAGGAAAAGATAGAAACTCTGTTGACATGTATAAATACATATACAGGTTTTTTTTCCAAACACAATACAAAAATACTAGATATATTGATATTAAATAAAGCCATCATATGGTCTTTGTCAGTTACACATGCTTACTGAAAAGTCCCATATTTTAAAGATTTAATTCAGAGGTCTATACTCAGTTGCAACACCTGGAAAAATCTTGAAATCATGAACCAGTTGCTCAGCCATGTTGGCCAAAAATGCTGTTTTGCTACTGTAAAGTATTTCCACACATTGCCCATCCAGAATATTGCTATTAAACTCAGTGTTCTGTTTCAAATTCCTTTTAAAGCACAACTCACTGTTTAAGGGAAAGTATCAACTAAGTAAGATGATCATTGAGTGTTATGTAAGAAAGCCTATACTATAATAGAGATTTCTTAGAAAAGACAGTCTTGTAGTTTATTGGAAAGTTAGCAATACAGGCAGTCCTTGGGTTATGACCACTTGTTCAAAACCTTTCAAAGTTATGATGGCGCTGAACAAGGAGGACTTACAACTGGTCCTCAAAGTTGCAGCTGTTGCAACATTCCTGTGGTCGCATGACTGCAATTTGGGTGCTTGGCAGCCAGCTCACACTTACAACAGTTGCAGTATCCTGCAATCATGTGATTGCCATTTGCTACCTTCCCTGCCAGCTTCCCACAAGCAGAATCAATGGGGAAGCCGGCAGGAGGTCATAAGTTGCTCCGGTAAGTCACTCCCCCCGCCACTTTTTCTCTTGAGCCCCGGGTGGCACAGTGAGTGTGGGCCCTGGGCAGGTGGGTGGCTGCCCACCCTGTTGCACTTGTATTGGGCCATAGAGCCCAAACCCCTGCCCAGCTGCACTCACACCCAGCTGTAGCACCTACCCTACACCTGCTTGCGCCATGCTGCAGCACCCCCCCCCTCACACTCGGCCATAGCACCCATCCCCCACCCACACTCCATAGCACTTAGCCACCTGCCAGCCTGCTTGCAAACCACCTAAGGAAAGGCTTGTCGTGACCTGGCCTTGCAACTTCCTGCCAGCTTTCTCACTGACTTTGTTGGAAGCTGGCAGGAAGTCACAAGTCACAGTCACATGAGGTCCTTGCTTAATGACCCACACAGTCCTTGCTTAATGATGGCAACAGGGACTGCTGGGATTGCTGTCACTAAGCAATGCGGTCATGTGACATCATGATTTACGACCATATCACTTAACAATGGAAATTATGGTCCCAATTACCATCATAACCTGAGGACTATCTGTATACCTACTGCTTTTAAAAAAAATTGCATTAAAAATACTAGTAATACTTGAATCTAAGGGCAGCAACTTTAAAAAGTTTACAGAATTGCTCAGACATTATCCTATCTGAAGTTCCTTAATGTTTGTCTTTCCTCTATGCAAAAGATTGAGCAAGTGAAGTCATGTTATTGATTCAGTTTGTTTTTTCTTCCACAATACTCTTGCATGAGATACTTTTGACATGGAGGAAAGGGTCTTCAGAGAGCAAGAGCATGATCTGTTTGTTTCAAGGAGCTTTGCAAGGACCCTGGATAAAGTTACTAAAGTTTTCTTTTTTTGTATTTTTTTTTTCTCACAAAGATGGCCTGGGACTTAATTGATATGGGACTGATATGGGATTTAATGGTTAGTGTCAGTCCCAAGTACTAAATAAAAGCATGGTAGGATTTGCTCTTCCCAGGGTATTTATGAGTATTTGTGTTGCCATCTGTGGCTATTTATCTGTTGTCTCTAAGCTTTATATGCACACGTGGGTTGATTTATTTTACACTTGCAGTAATTTTAATTCTAGGAAAGCATCAAATGCAAAATAGAGATGTAAGTCTGAATAAAGAAGCATGGTTTTTCTCAGCTGCGTCTTCGGGATTCTCTTGTGACCATTTTTTACATTTTCCCAGGCAAATCTCGCCCAGCTTCTGAGTGATTCTCGGGATCGAAATAAACATTTAGGGGAAGAAATCAAAGAACTGCACCAAAGGCTGGGAGAAGTACAGGGAGACAACAAGGTATGGTAGAAATTAAAAATAATTATATGTAAATTCTAAGCAATGTACAATATAACTAGTCTTTGAATCTGTTGGCCAAGTGGGGGGGTAAGTAAAAATTTCTTTGAAACTTGCTGTATTCTGACTGTATTGTTTAAATCACACAACTTCCCATCTTCCAAAAAATTATGTTATTGTCTTGCTGTTTTTGCACAGTGCCTTTGAATTTTCAATGTTCATATATTTCTACCAGATTTTAGTATTCAAAACTCAAAAATGGAACCCTCATACTTTTCTAGATTTGTTTGTCAGAATGCCTAGAGATAGCTTTAATACAATTTGGGATCAACTTTTGATGGGCAGATTTTCTATCCTGTGTAGAACTTTTTCTTTTCTAATGGGAAATGTTCTCCTAACGGCATTTTTTATTTAGAGAATTTACCCTAAAGCAGTGGATATTTTTGTATACCATTTGATACCATTTCACATTTAAAAAGGAAGTGATCAGCATATAATAGAAATATCAAGTGGAAAGTATAACCATTCCGTTTATTTTTATTTTTCCTCTTGAATGTAAGCTGTATGAATTTACATCTTGCTCTAAACATAATCTAAGATTAAGAAAGGCAGAATTCTGGCTATGAGTTGTGATTAGTTGAACGTGAGGTTGATTTCCTTTTCAGGAAATGGAGGAATTCTAGTTTGCATGGTTATTGCTGAGGTATTAAATGGTAACTTTTAGATTTCTTGCAGAGTTAAGCTTTGTTTTAAGTTTGATTGGTTTATTGGCAGCCATGTTTATTCATTTTTGTAAACTATGTCAAAGATCACATTTTCATTTTTAACTTCATGTGCAAATGAGGGATACTTGCCAGGTTTTGTTTCATTTAGCACACATTTTCGTAAATTGCTCCCATAATTTAATTATTAATTAATATTAATTATTATTTATTATTATTTAATTATTTATTATTAATAATTAATATAATTTTCATAAATTGTCTGTGGGAATATCCTTGAGAGACAGGAGGAGGAAAAGCCACAGCCAGGGCAATGGTCAGTTAAGAAACATCTCAGCCCAGAGAAGGAATGGAGGTGTGGAAAGAGTCTCAGAAGGACCCTCCATAGTTCCCTGGTGTCTGCCTTCCAAGTAGACCAGACAGGAAACATGACAAGATGAACTAATTTTACTTAATTGTAAGGCTATGTTAACAGAATCTTGCAAGTCTGAAAATACAATTCTCCCACTGTCTCTTTTTACCTCCTGAAATTAGGGCGTATCCTTTCTAAATTTCTTTCTCTGCCTGTAACTCAGTTGCGGGCTCCTCCCCCTTTTGTCTGATCATTCCCTAGGCAGCTTCCCTCCCCCCCCCCCTCTTCCAAGG